CCTGCTGAGGAATTTAAGTATGCTTCAATTAGAAAGGAGAATCCAGTCACTTAAATATATCCCTGATTCATTACAAATCTGTAGAGGGTTGTTCCTACAGTGCATGCATATAAATCCCAGTAAAACTAATGGAAGCTGTGAATATGCTTGGAAGGATGATGGTGTTATAACTAATTCCATTTTTATTTTATTCAGACTAATCTTTGTATAAGCAGTATCATTTTAAATATAGTGCTTTCAGGCTCTGATTATGACTGTCACAGCAGTTCCAAAGGTGCAGTTGAGATCTGCAGTAATTTGGATTTCTCTAATATATGTATAGTACTAGCACCTGGGTGTTCCAGCAGTGGGCTAAGACTCCATTATGCTTGGTCTTCTACAGATACAGAACAAAAGAAAATTCTTGAAAACAAGGATTAAATGTTTATATATGGAAGAATGCTCGTTCAGTAACTCCTTTTAACACAATATAGTACTGTGGGTAGACCCCATATACAGATTCATCTTCAGCTTCTTCATTAAAGCTTTTGCTCAAAGGAGATCAGTTGATTACTGGCTAGTTAGCTGATTGACCCCCTGCCAAATGCACCCTTTTTCCAGTTAATTTCACTTAAATTTAATTTAGGTTCAGATGATATAATTTGATTGTCTTAGCCTAGCATTAATCAATCAGCACAGTAACAGAAGAAAAGGATGTGAGACAAGTTTTTCGCCAAACTTTCTTCCCATTTCCTTTTGAAGTCACAGAGCCAAGTGTAAAAAACTGGCTTTGGAAGATCTAACCTGTTTTAGGGGCTTTGTTGCTAGACAGAAGGACTGGACATTTCAGAGAACTTCCATGTTCTTTGTGGCTGAGTGCAGACATTCAAGAAGCGTGAGGCAGAAGCACTATAAGTATCACTCTATAGTCAAAGCGCCGTAGATTAGTGCGGGAGTGAACAGAACTGATGTTCACCTTGGGGAGGGGAGAAGGCCATGGAAGCTGCCTGCAGTGGCCGAGGCCAGCAGGCTGGGGTTGTTCCTGCAACCCTCCCAAGAAGCTGCTTAAGCAGCCTCTCCCTGCCCCAGCCCTGCCTGCCCCCCACCAGCTGGTGGCTGTCAGCAGCGACTGCAGGGAAAGGGAGGGAACAGAACTCCTTGCTGCACAGCTCCCCCACAGCTTGCTGGCTCTGGTCTTGTGGAGGGGTGGGGGAGGGAAGGGGGAGAGGCGCAGGCCAGCCCAGCCCAGGCCCAAGTGGCAAGGGGACTCCATTCATCCAGATGCAGCTCAGGGCTGCATCACTTTTTGCCACACTGGGAGGGGAAGGGAATGGAGAATGGAGCACCCCTGCTCTGTGGGTTCCCCCCACTTGCTAGCTCTGGTCTTGTGGGGGGCCCAGGCTGAATCCTTGCATCAGGCTCCCTCCTCCCCCCACTCTGTCTCCCCTCTGTCTCCCCTCTGTGACAGCCCAGAGGCAGGACTGGGTTGGTGCTTGCAGAGCTGAGGAACACCAGCCATGGCTATCACGCTATCTTTTGAGGAGCCACTGGAATGCTGGCAGAATGTGACCTACCTTGACTCATGATGACATGTGTTAAAGACATTTGATAAAGTGCTTTAGTCTGATACCATATCCATCCAGGGTTAACTTAGAACACAGTATGCCATTTTGAAGGGCTCTGTGCCATGAACATCTATGCTCGATAGTTATGGCTATCGAGCACTTTCTACACTTTTATTGCATGATAAGCATAGTGTCTGTACCTAGCTTTAACCTCTGAGAACTAATCAGAGTAAGTTTCTTAATGGTCCTGGGAATGGGTCAGTTCAATAAGGCTTATCACTCTAGGTAGATAAAGTTCTGAAAAGAAAGGGAGCTTTCCCTTTCCTTTCTGTTGATATGAACGGACCTGGCTACTCATTACTCAAAACTTCTTCAGATTTGGTGGTTTTGGTTGTCTGCTGTGTGCCCAGCTATGCTAGCAAGCCTAGTTATTCCTCTTCTCTTCTTCAGTAATCCCTCACAGTCGAGGATGATTGTCTTCCATGATTGTCTTATTTGTGGGTCTGAAGATGGCTGACAAAGACCAATTCGGGTTCGACAGACTCTACTACAACTTGAGCATGTGTTTCCATGCAGGGTGGGTGGCTCTGGAGTCTTGATTCGGTCTGCAAGCATTTTTGCTGCTCTGACTTTTCCATCTCCTGTTGTTGTCATAAGGTTTCAAAGTACTGACATCTTTGCAGCAGATTCTTGTTCCATTTTGGGCAGTCCTGGGCAATAGTCTCCCACGAACTGATATTGATGTGCATTTTTTTTAAAGTTGGCCTTGAGGAGGACATCCTTACAGAGCTTCCTCTGCCCTTCTCTTGAGCATGTGCCTTGATAGAGCTGGGAGAATAAAACTTGTTTCGGAAATCTGGAGTCAGACATCCGGATGACGGGGCCAGCGCAGTAAAATTGATGTTGGATGACCTTTCCTACTACTTCTTTGCCAATGGTTCCATTCCAGTGGTTTGAGTCCCTTCCAACTCTGGCATTGAAATCAGTGAGAAGAATAAATCTGTCTCCCTCTGGAACGTCAGAAAGGACTTGGTCAAGGTTGGCATGGAATTCCTTTTTGGTTTCATCAGTGGTAGCAAGAGTTGGGGCTTACACACTGATGAGTGTGATTGGCTCCCCATCAGTTTAAGATGGAGATTCACAAGGGTGCTCATTAATTCCAATAGTAGGTTTATGAGTTCATTCTTGATTGCAAAACCAGCTC